AACGATTTGTTGAAGGAGAGCATATTCGCATGGGAGAAGCGAGATATGAAATTGGTCAGCGAGTATTTTGAATTGTTCTCGCCTTACATCTGCTTCCTTCTATTCGAACTGAAACTTTGGCTGGGAATGAATTTATAGTGAAAAATGAGCAAACATGAGTGAGATTCATTCAGATGCATCCGCTATTTGAACATTAAAGTTTGATCACCTGATATCATGCTTCTATTCCAGTCCAAATTGTTAGAAATTCATTGATACGCTTAACTTGCATTCTCCACTGACTGTGAATAAGACGGTGGTGATATTGTGTGTGGAAACCATGGTCGTACATCATTAACAAATTGTAGGCTCTTGATAAGGCAAAGGAAGCGGGTCGTAAAGAGCGAGCTGCAGTAAAGATGCGTGAACAACTCTCAGTGGTTGAACAGCTCAATTTGGATTTGACATTCACAGTTCTTTTCAATTTAGCTCATCAGGTAACAGGCACTGATTCTACGCAGCGAATTCTCCAAAATTCTTCTCCTAAATACTCTTTTAGAGCCATCGCTGACTGTGAACTAATATTGCATTATTAATGGCTTATTGTTAGATGTGCACATAACAAGCGATCAGAAAAATGCTTGACGTAGATCATTGGAATATAAAATGTTCAATGCTATTTATGTATGAGCATAGCGATGGTTTCATCAATTTTACATCAAATGAATATTCTGAAAGAAAACAAGCATAAAACTATGAGATGTCACTATATTCAATGGTTGATTTGCAGTACATGGCAAATGATTTATTAACGGAAGCACTGAATACGTATCAAGTGATTGTCAAAAATAAAATGTTCGCAAATTCGGGTCGTTTGAAAGTGAATATTGGGAATATTTATTTCAAGAAGAAGGACTATAAAAAAGCAATCAAATATTACCGTATGGCACTTGATCAAGTACCAAATGTGCAAAAGGATACGAGGTTCCCAGGAATTTTCGTGTCTGATTGTTGAACTTTAAGAGCATCGAGGAGCTGAATCAAATTTTGAAGTAGAATCAGCAGAATCTGCGGATTTTAGGATAAAAATCTTGAACAACATCGGTGTTGCGTTCATTAAATGTGGTGAATACGATGAAGCCGAAAGTACATTCGAGCATTGTATGGACGAGAAGGGCGATTACGGCACTGCGTTAAATCTGATTTTGACTGCGTACTGCGTCGAGGATGTGGATAAAATGAAAGACGCCTTTCAGCGACTGGTCGATATTCCACTGTTGTTCGATGATGAACCCAAATATATGGTAAATTTTGAAGTGATTTCATACCTATGTTAAGTGCGGAACCAATATGATTTCCAAGCAACTCATTGTATCTCTATGTTAAGTGCGGAATCTTACAATAGTTTATAATATCGGTTGAAATCACGGGGATCAATTTGGAAGTTTGAGGTGTATCGTATTGTTTGCGTAATCATAAATCTTCACTAAACACTCAAAAATACCTCTTATTTCTCTCGTTTTTTTTAACGAAATTATTGATGAATCAGTTCGGTAGCTGAGAAAAAAATAACTTAGAATAGATCCGGATGAGTTCAATTCAGCAATTTACTGATGATAAATCACAGGATCAACAAGATTTTCTGCTCGCGCAAGCGATCAGCAACGATTCACTGAAACAATGGGAAAGACAACGTCGACAAACTGCAGAAAGAACCATTTTGACAGCTGCGAAAATTATTTCATCTGCCATTGCAACAACGTTAGTAGTAGCGAATTTGGAATGTTATAGGTGAATGAAGTATCTGGATGTGCTTTCTGAGGAACAGTTGGTGTAGTAAATGAATTAAGAAGTAGCTTCCTCAGAAGCAGTTGACAAATTTGTGCCGAATTTAGTTTGCCAGATAAGATTTAGTTATGCCGAAGGGTATGCGTGGTGTGTGGAAGCGATTAAACAATCCGTGTACGCACCTCTTGCAATGGAACTCGAAATGAACAAAGCCATCGAGTTGTTACGTCAGGGTGATCTCACTGCTGCACAACAGGTCACATCCACTATTCTCGCGTTTATTTCTCATTTTTGACTGTGAACAATCATGTTCCTTTCGAATCAGACCTTCTCAAAATATCACTATAACAAGATAAATCTCTTGAGTCGAGCCTGAAAGTG